AAAGATATTATCAACTTTTTTTTTTACTGTAAGAAATGACGAAGGAAAAAATATATCGACAACAGAAATAATTTTTGTCCGTGAAGTTTTACATAAAACACATAAAGACAAAAAAGAAAGGAATGTAATTTAAATAGAAGAAAAATATTTTACTTACCACTGACGAAAGACATTTTGCTTGTTGCTACAACTCACGTGTCTATATCGTTATATATCAATATCTATACATATATAGTTCAAGATATATGTATGTGTGTGTATATATATATATGTGTGTATGTGTTTGTATATGCGTTAATTTATAAATTTTATATGAGAGGCCTTTAGATTTGTCTACCCTTCTCTCTCTCTCTCTCTCTCTCTCTCTCTCCCTTTGTCTTATTTATTTATATTTTTACGTTTAAGTTCCCCCTCCACGTGTAGGTATTAATTCCGACGTGTCGCTTGTAAACTTAATAAACGCATATATAGATATTAGTTAAACTGTGTTCATATGAACGCCTCTTTGTATTTAAACATCGAAATTATATTACGCGCATACACACACATACACACACACACACATATATATATTCGTGTGTATTTTTATCCAAAAACAAATATGTGGGTAGAGAGGAGGGAAAGATTAACAAATATGTATATACATTTATACACGCACACACATACACATGATTATATAGACAGAGTTACGTTGGGATGTCACGTGTGGAGAAATCTCAGAAGTTGGTTATAAGTAAGCATTTAGTCGATGTAATGTTTACGATGAACTGTACAACAGGTGAGAGGTAGTGGTAACAGTTTGGGGTCGCTAATAACAGCAGGTGTAAGCGGTGTGAGTATTAATTCTAATGGCTGTCTTAATTAGTGGAGGAGTGTCGGTGGTGGTGTCGGTGTTGGTGCTTCTCGTATTTATGTGTACAGCGTACTGTCATTACACTTTGCGTTCTGTTGTCACATCCATTGTTTGTTGGGGAGTGTTTTTGCGCACGGTGACGAAGTTACATGTGCGCGCGCATCGACCAATGAAAGTCAATTGGTATCAAGGCAGCGCGCAACTGCCGCTATATACGATTGGTCTTGAGTCGCTTGGCATGTGGGCATTGCATGCAGAGGTAGGTAAATGGAGGGAAATAGAGAGAAAGATGCCCAGAGGTACACACACACACAGAGAGAGAGAGAGAGAGAGAGAGAGAGAGATGAAATACAGTATCTTTTTTCGGTCCTCACCACCTTCCTATTTCTCACCATCATCATTGTGACCCATTGACCATTCCTTCTTTTCTCTTTCATCATGTACCTCAACTTCGATTCCCACTTAAACATCTTACCCCACTTTTTCTTTATACTTTTTTTTCTCATGGTTTTTCTTTCTTTCTTTCTTTCTTTCTTTCTTTCCCACGCAATTCCTTTTCATTTTAATTTTCTTTTTCCGAGCTACTCCTTTCTTTCGTTATCTCTTTTTACTCCATTATTCTTTTTATGTACGACTTGTTCTTCCTTTACTTTTTTTTTTAATAACCTTCGCTTTTTATACGGTCTTATTTAATTTTCCCTTCTTCCTTGCTTTCTTTTATTTTCTTATTTTCTCCTCGTTTCATTTAATATTTCCTTATCACTTTTCTTCTTTTTCAGATCATCAAAATCTTTATTTGCTTTTCTACCTTTTCTTCTTAGATCTTTCTTTATTTCATTATTTCTACCCACGCCTTTTGCGTTTATTCTTTTTCGTTCTTCTTTTTCTTTCTTTCTTTTTTTCCCAACGATCTCTCCCTGGTTTATATTTTTCCTTTTCATTCTCTTTGCCGTTTTGGTTTCTTTCTTTCTTTATTTTTATACCTTTTCACCTTTCATCCGTTTTTCCTCCTTTCTTTCTTCACTTTTTTCTTTCACATAATCACAGTGTTTCTTTCTTTCCTTCCTTCCTTCTTTCTTTCTTTCTTTCTTTCTTTCTTTCTTTCTTTCCTTCCTTCTTTCTTTCTTTCTTTCTTTCTTTCTTTCTTTCTTTCTTTCTTTCTTATTTTTCTTCTTTAAACTATCAAAGTGTTTCTTTTTAATGTCTTTCTTTCTTTCCTTTCTGTTCATTCATTTTTTGTCCTTATCCTTTTTTCAGTTCTTAACTTTTTGTTTCTTTTTTTCAACACTAGTTACTTTCTTATATTTTCCTAGCATTCTCGTCGTTTCTTTCTTTCTTTTCTTTTTTCATATGAATATACATATCTCTCATTTTCCCTCTATTTCCTTACTTTTTTATTTCTCTTTTACAACCTTCTTTTCTCTTATCTCTCATTTCCCTTGCTCTTTTTATTCCTCTTTTACAACCTTTTTTTCTCTTATCTCTCATTTCCCTTGCTCTTTTTATTCCTCTTTTACAACCTTCTTTTCTCTTATCTCTCATTTCCCTTCTTACTTTTTATTCCTCTTTTACAACCTTCTTTTCCCTTTCCTTTTTCTGTGTATTTCTTCATCTCTTACTTTTCTCGGATATTCTATTTTCTTTTAA